CCTAGGGCCGCACCTGCATAGCACTAATGTCGGCGTTCTGCTTATCTTCCAGCTCCTGCAGCTGCTTCTCCAGCGCTTCGTTCATGCCCCGGCACGCTTCGATCTCCAGGGTCTTGGCCTTGAGCAGGCGGCGGCTCTCGGACACCTCGTCCTTGGCGGCGCGCACCGCGTCGGTGTTCTTGGCCGCGCTCTCGGTGAGCACGGTGAAGCGGCTCTTGAACCACTCCTCGGCATTCTGCATGTTCTTGGCAGCCAGTTTCTCATACTGGGCGCGGATGTCCTTGAGCGCGGCGGAGAGGTCGGGCTTGGAGGACACGTCCATCTCCACGGAGATCTGCGCGTACTGGATCTGCGCCTGCAGCTCGGCGATCTCCTCTTCGTGCACCTTCTTCAGGAAGGCGATTTCGTCCATCAGGCTGTCGATGCGCTTCTCGAGCTCGGCGCGGGCGAGAGCCGCCTCGTCGGCGCCTTTGCGCGCTTCCATCAGCCGGCCCTCGGCGTCCTCGCGGTTCAGCACCTCTTCCTCGTAGCGCGCCTGCAGGTTGCGCAGAGTCTCCTCCAGCCCCTCTCGCTCGCCCTGCAGCGCCTGCTTCTCGTTGGTGGCGTCTTCCGCCGCCAGGCGCAGGTCGCGGATCTCCTGCTCGTACAGCGCCCGGAAGCGCGACGGCTCCGAGTGCTTCTGCCGCAGCACCAGCAGCTCGGCCTCCAGGACCTTGTTCTGCTGCTCCAGCTCGTGCACGCGCTCGATGAAGCTGGCGAAGCGGTCGTTGAGGTCCTGCAGCTGCGCCTTCTCCTGGGTGCGGATCGACTTGAGGTCGTTGCTGATCGCGGCTACCTGGCTCAGGTCGAGGTTCTCGAGACTGGGCATCAAGGAGCTGGAGCTGGACGAGTAGCTGCGGCGCACGGACAGCGAGGAGGAGACCGGCGCCGAGTAGCTGGAGTACGCGGAGCGCGCGGTGCTGTAGCCGCTGCGCACGCTGGAGATGTGCACCCGGGGCGTCTCCACGTAGCGCCGCTTGTAGGAGGTCGAGTAGTACGGCTCGTAGCTGAAGGAGCTCATGATGGCGGTCGGTGCCCCTCCGGCTGGCAGCAGAGACGGGGGCCTACGGAGAAAGAAGAACGGGGGGTGGAAGGGAGAAGGGAGAATGGATGGCTGTGTGCGGCTCGGCGCGCTCCTGCCGCCCCTATTTATACGCGCGGAGAGTTCTGACGCAGCCGGCGATCGATCACGGCGCGCCGGCCAGTGGGGGCAGCGCTGCTGCAGCCGCGGCGGATTCTGCGCAAAAGGAAGGCGGGGCGAGCGACCGCCGCCGGGGTGCGGCTGCTCTCGGCCACTTTTCTCTGAGAGAGACCCCGCACCCCCTCACTCATTTCCTTTCCCTTCCCCCACCCCAGCCTCTTTACTCCCTTGACCTCGTATCACCTAGATTCTCAAGTGTCCCCAATAACAAGTTCTCACTTCCTGCTGACATTTTAGTTTTCCAGATCCCGGGGCCGGGGAGACATCCTCTCCCCCCTAACGCGCCCCTTCCCCACCCGGGGCCTCTGTCATCACCCCCCTCCCCCCGCCGTGCTTATGGTGACAGTGCAGTGCCTCTCTCGGGCCCTGGAGATACAGATGACCGTCTAAGGCGGCAGGTCTGCGGCAAGTATGGAGGAAAGTTTTCTATGTCTTTGTAGCTGTTTCTGGCACTTTCTTTAATACTCTTCCTTTCTCCCGGTTATTATTATTATTTTTTACTTTAACGCGCTGCTTACACACACACACACACGAAACTGCGGCACTGCAATTGTTGACCTGAGCATTTCTAAACCTTTAGAGCAGTTAGCAGCCGCCTTTCGGTGCTCCGAGATTTTTCTCATTTATGAAGCCTCCAGTGCGCGCAGCGTGGTGAAGCGAGTAGGCAAAAGGAGAGCCGGCCGAGAATGAGCTGGAAACCTACCCGGGAGGAAACTGACTGCGGAGGCAGCGGGGAGCTCCCCAGCAGGGACTTCGCACTGGAAACACAGCCTGCCTCTGCATGGAGCTGAATCCCTGCCTCACACTCCCAGCCCCGGCGCATGCAAAGCCCCTGTCCTTCTTACACCTGTGCAGCACCCAACCTGATGATTTCACCCAGCCGGGCAGGTGGCTGGCTGCGAGGCGAGCGGCTGCTGCCAGCCGGGGCCCGGGGGACAACTCAGAGCCGAGATGTCTCGTTCTGGGGCGGACAGAAAACAGCTGCGTGATTCTTTCCCCGGGTTAGCTCCTATACACAGGGAACAGGTACAGTCAGGAATCCATGGAATTTCTTTAAGAAACACCCAGAGACCTGAAACGCTGCGCAGGGCGGCAGGCACCATGACACTGCCCTGCAGTTTGCAGAGCACGTTACGCGTTAGGTTAGGGAGTCCCTCGGCCTTCATGAGCTGATCGAAGACGTTTGCACAGGCTACCTAACAATTTTCTAAGCAAGCGGTTAGTGTTTGTTTTATTTGTATAAGAGTGGCATTTGACATGTAACTTACTGTTGTTGTTTTTTAAGAGGCAAACTAAGGAGAAACATGGTAACAGTTTTCAAATAGAGAAGCCGGAATTGCTTTCGTGGTGATGCTGGGAAGATGAAATGCTTGCAGCAGCCAGCACCACAGTTGCACTGGAGGTACTGCACTGCTCCCCGGACAGGACAGGACAGGACAGGACAGGACAGGACAGGACAGGACAGGACAGGAGCGGGGGAGGACTTCACCTCTGGGCTTCTCTGCAACTCTAAAAAAACCTGTGATTCGTATACCACACCCTCTTCATGGTAGAGGGAAAGACTGCAGCCCAGAACTTTCGGGAGGTGGGGGTTCTGAACCATCTCTACTGTCTGAATAATGCAGCTTTAGAAACAATAACTTTGCTAGCTTATATCTATCAAGAGGTCCATCCACAGTCACTCTGGGGTGTCACGCCTAAGCCATCAGGCGGTCCTGAATTTTGCTCAGCCCTAGCAGATGAGATAGGGCACTTATCCTGATGACTTTTCATAGCCCAGATGTCCTTGGTCTCCCCACTCATCAGTGATTAAACAGTGGGGAAGGCTTCTCTGGAGAGGCTAAGGGAGGTGGGAGAGAACCTAGATAAGCCATATTTTTGTGTCTCCCAATTACTTACATGTGGATGAAAAGTGGCAGAATGTATTTTTTTTTTTAACCTGCTCTATGTGAACCACATAGTTTCACACTCACTGCATGTGAGTCTGTCTACACCACACTCTCAGGTATTCATGAATTCCTTTCCTTTGTGCCAGCTCCCTTCCTTCGGAGTTTCAGGTCACCCTCAGGGATCTTAAGTCCATCAGCGATTTTTTTTTTTTTTTTGGCCAGGGCTCCTGGTTAAAGTCTTTGACTGCAGAGAAGGCTGCCCAGGAAGAGGGAGGGGCTGATGGATGCTGCAGGGGCGGTGAAATGCTGCAGAGGAAGAAACCTGTAGGGCACCTGCTGCCGTCCTTGGGTAGCTGAAAAGGGAGGCACACAGGAGTGAGGAAGGGTGGGAATGGGGCTCCGAGCCCTTGGATTTGGGGAACCTCATGAACAGGGAGCAGAGAGAGGGGCAGATGGCCCGTATTTAGGAAAGTAGATCTCTGGCTGGCTTTGGCATGGCCACCTCAGCCTAGCTTTCAAAGGGCCCCTGAACCCCTCCCGTGCCTGAGTTTTGGTGACTGTCTTCAGCCTTCTTCTGCTAGGTGTCTGCCTCTTTTAAAAAATACTCTGTCTATCATTCTCCCTTTTAAATCCTCTTTGCAGAACTTTGCCCTGAATGCCCACGTGGCATTTACTCTGTGTCAAAGCAAAGTTAAAATGAGCAGCTTTTAAAAAATCTTGACTTTTCCTTCCGCCGAACCATCAGTGTTTTTGCATTCGTGTTATCTGCAGTGGCGTCGCTCTTTCTTTGGAAGGGTGTTGGTACACACTTGTGCGTTTATCCTGCTGTGAGCATCCTCTTTACTAACAGGAAATCGCTCGAGGGCTGCCAACAAAACATACTCCTAGGAGACAAAGATTATTTAGAACACAAATATGGAAGTATATTGATGAAATTTATTAATAAAATTTCTCCCAACCTGGTTATCCCTGATATCTCTATAATCCCCTGCGGGACTGTGTGAGATAGTTTTGTTTAAAAGTTACATAGTACCCCAAAGCTCATGAAATGTAACTCTTAAAACCACTGAAAAAGTTTTCCATCTTCTCCAGTGCCAAGAGTCAGAAAGCTTCATTCAGAGGGATGGGGCCCGGTGACTTCTCATTATTCTAAAATGCTCTGGCACCGCAGGGAGCTCTGCATTGGCATTTGCTGTCGAAAGCTCAACTTCAGGGTGAAATTCTTACGAGGCAGGTCTCATGGAAAGCACTTGTCCAAAGAACAGGAGAGCAAAGTCCCCCTCAACCAGTGAGCTGTGGGAACAGTCCTGGTCCAGAACAGCAGGTGGGTCTCCATTCAACTCACCATCAGGATACATCAGCGTGAGCAAGGCTGCCATCAGTGTGTGGATGCAAGGAGGGATGAAGGGTATAAATACATGCAGGACACCTACCCTGTGATGGGTGTTTATATTTATTATTTAATAATTACAAAATCCCCATGATGATTGTTATTCAGAGCAAATAGCTGAGGCCCAGAGAGGTCAAGTAACTTGCCAACTCACACAGGTCCTTCAAACCTAAGCTGTACCTGCTTCCAGTCTGGGTAGTGCCCCCTGATTACACATATGGCAGCCACTGGCGTTTGCCGCTTCCGTAGGCCTCTGTGGAATTTGATAACTGCGCGCCACAGTCTGCAGAGTCTGGTGTGTGAGTGGTAATCCTCTCACATTTGGGGGACACTGATATGAACCGATTTATGCCGCGAGAAAATTATTGATGACCATGTTCAATTTGCACAGCCAGTGGTGGCAATAAACTGTATATTTGTAGGTGTCTGAAATGTCCCAAAGTAAAGTTAAAAGGAGCCTACCAGTGGACATGTCATGTTTTAAACATTGCTCTAAACATTGGTTTGCAAAACACCTTTTCTAGAATTAGTGACCTAAAGTGCAACTTAGCTGATCTAAACTCTTTCAAATAACTATATCATGACGTCCACCTTTTTTTCCTAAGTAAAATACCTTCATTTACCACTCTTACAAATAGACTTTTTTTTTTTTTAAAGTGACCTTAAAATTGCCATAAAGAATAAAAGATAAAATGCTGGCACTCACCATCTCATTATTAGAGTTTATCATGCTTTGTACAAATCTTTAACTTTTTAAAAAGAAACATGAGTAAAAGCAACAGAAAATGTATAGTATATGGAAGCCGGAAATATACTTCCTCTCTGTTTCGTGTAACCGGTTTATTATTTCTTTGTGTATTATCTTCACCATAGGAATCCTCATCAGGCATGAATCTCCCATCCCTTGGTGATATGTCTGAAAGAAAACTTTCCCCATCGTAATGTAAAATATGGCCGATCTTACAGGTTCACGTTGTGAAATAATGCACCACAAAGTATGCTGTGCGGCTATATGAAATTTAGATTGCAGCAGGAAGGAGGATGTCATCTGAATAGATTCAAATTGAAAAGCATATTTATATTCAGAGCACGTGTACAGTATTAGAAATGACGGAGACCTGCTGCTGTCCAAGCAGAATGATGTTGGCAGGTTCCGACCCCTAAATGCCTGCTCCACGGCACTAGCCAAGGTGATGCATTTCCCCCAGAGGCCTGCTCCACAGTGCCTTGCCCTTAATCACAGCCATGAGTCGCAGAGGTAAGAGGGTATGCTGGGGATATTAAAGGGCCCAGTTCGAAGGCATTTCAGGCAGGTCACCGCCAACCAGTCAGAACCAACAGTACTAATCCTGTTTACTGAACTGTGCTTTCCCGACTGCAAGGCGACACAGGCTGCTTCTGCAATTTGGGGACTAACTGGCCTCAAAAGCATCCCACGCGGCACCTGGGTTTCTCTGCTGACCTTTACAGTGGTTTAATACATCAGTCGGAGGAATGCGAGGTTGACCGTTTGCGAAAAGAGAGGAAAAGCATTTCCGTCTGCAAGAGACAGTCTCGCAGCCTTGGGGAGCCCTCCGGGCCGCAGTGCGCTGTCTCGCCAGTGCTTCGCTGCTGCACGCATGCAGCAGACGCCGCTGCAGATTTGCAAATGGGCGGATCCCTGGATTCCGGCAGTAAACCAGGCAGGCTTCTGGCAAC